TAAGGAAACCTGTAAGTGTTGCTAAATTCAGAGGAAGGACAAACACTTCTGAGTTTCTCTGTACACACATATGTATTTATTCATGTGTGTATCTAATTATCTGACTAATGGAGGATTATGAAGAAAGCTAGATTTAGGGGTGTCTTTTTGAGGGAGATAACTGGTAAAAGGAAAGTATACAGCTTTCTTTATCTCTTACTGATTATAGGATGGAAATGCATAATAATGCATAAAAAGCATATTTTTTTTTACTCTTTGTAACATGACTGTGCTAGAAATTGTGGAATTATCACACAGTTGCATGTGTTATTCACCTATTATGGAAATTTAAGATTCAGCAATAGAGTATGACCATGAAGGTTAATCTGGCCTTTTAAATTTCTCAGAGCTTTAGAGTTTTAAAAAAAAAAAAGGCAACCTTGAACCTTGTAGGTTCAAGGGAATGCAAATGTGTGAACAATATTTCTAAAGTTCCTACAGTTTGCACTATAAGGGAAAGTTGTTCACACATCTGCATTCCCTTATCTTGTCCATCTTTGTCATTCTAAGTGTGAAACTGCTTTTCAGGAAGACTGGCTTCACTAGGTCAAGTTTGCTGTCTTTCATCCCAGATGCTTTCTGCCACTGGTTAGTTCTTTGTGGGCTCCTTATTTCTTTGTGGAGGTGAATAAAAATTGCTCATTCAATTTTATCATCTTTTTTTTTTCCTATATGACTAATGGGAGGAGAAATCTGGGGGAAACAGCTGCAGGGCTTGAGAGCCATGAGGACTTAAACAGCTAAAGATGGACTTGCTACTCAAGGCTTCTTGATTTTTATTTTTAACTTTGAGCATTTTGCTTGGGATTTGCTTCCTGGTGCTGTTCCGTGACTGGTGGTAACACACATCCAGCCTTTGGGGGAATCATTAAGGTGATTGTACCAACGCTGCTTTGAAGGGATAAAAATGCTTCCTGAATACTCAAATTATTTTTGGAGCAGTCTTCTAAATGAGCCTGTGATGGTTTGGGTGGCTCCTTGAAGTGGCTTTCTGAGAATATTTCAGCTGTGTTCCCTGGTGTTGTGCTATACCATTATCATGTAACTGTTGGCTTTCCTGTGCAATCTCCTTTGTGGTGAACACGCACAACCAACCAGAAACAAACCAGTTCATTGAAGGAAAGGTGTTAGGGAATTCCTTTCTTTAGCTTTCATTAAGGAATGCTGACAGACTTAACACTGTGTGCAACTTGGGCTATTTGATCAGCTTAATCTAGAACTTCCTCTAAAAAATATATTGTCTCCAGTTTTCTAAATGGACTATTTCAAAGGTGATTCTTGAGAATTCTCAGTAGTTGCTGCCTTTCCAGTATTTATTTTTACATTGTGAGCTATAAAGGAAAGTTGTTCAGTGCACTTGGGCAGCTGCAGGAACAAGACACACTCCACAAAAATCTAAGCTGTGCCACCATGCTTGCCCTTCCTAGAAGATGATCCTGTTATCAGAATCTGAGCCAAAAGCTTGAGACGTGGAAGCAGAGGACAAGCTAATCACTGAAAAATGCTTTATATATATGTAGAGTTGGAATTTTTTTTGAGATGGATAATGCCAGTGTTGCTGTCCTGTCAATTTAGCCTTGGAAAAAAGCTGTCTGGTTGAACATGAGAAGGGAGGTGGTCCCTTTCCAGCCTCCAAAGTGAAAGTCTGAGCTCTGGAGCTCGAGAGGATTCCTCGTGACTGGGTGGTAAAGGAACATCTTTTTTTTTCCTTTGGCAGGGGATGCTTCAAACAACAACAAGACCCGAACTGTTCTAACATAAAATACAAATGAATGATTTGCCTCTTGACTAAGCTAAAAATCTTCAACATTTTTTGGATGAACTCAAGGGAAAAGGTCTTGACCTGCTGCATGCAGGGGGAGGGAAGGAGAATGAGTGTCTGCAGCAGAAGGAAACAAAGCAGTCGGTTTTGCTTTACTAACATCATCTAGTGGCTGACTCATAGGCCTGACTTTTCTGGGCATAAAACTCAGTTACATACAGTTCTGCTTGGCTGCACTTTCTTGTGATGAAACTTGTAGATCCTAATTCTTTTTTTTTTTTTTTTGAGTTACACTTAAATTTTTCTGGGAGTTCTTTTTAGTCTGTCATTTGAAACTTGCTGCCAAAGGCCTCTCTACCATTGTTATCATCTGCAACTTCCTCACTGTGTTGTGTGTGTTAGGGGGTTGTGTTTGTTTTTAGTGGGTGATTTATGTTTTTTGTTTGGTTTGTTCGGGGGTATTTTTATTAAAAAGTTGTCTGTGCTTGTAGGGTGAGTGGCACTTTGCTCCCCTTGGGTCATAGTTGGTAAAAGCAATATTTTAAAGCTCTGCTTAAATGCTGACAAGGGATTGCTGATTGCCTTGTTGGGATTTTTTGAATGCTGTCAGTTTAGTTACTGTCAACAGCAGAGCATTAATAACTTCCATAATCCTTCAGGTTGACAGATGTGCTCCAGAGCACTTACTCATGGGGAGGAGGGGGAAGGTGGGGTTGATTTGCAGGCTGTTAGAAGGGCAGTAACTTCCATATGTCATATTTATCCCAAAGAGCTTTACTTGTAACTTCAGGCCCAGAGGGGAGTTTGCTGGCTCATAGGATAGATTAATTTGCTGAGAGGAGCTGTTTCTGACCGCTCCTCTCTCGGTTTCTTGACATACAAAGCCCTGGTCTTGCCACAGTTTATGGCTCCAGGTATTGATTCCAGGCAAAAAAAAAACCAATACAGAAGGTTGTGGAAGAGTTTAATTCTGATCCTTTATGGTCTCACAGCCTTTGGCATCTTTGAACTTACCCAAGCAAGTTGCTGCATCAAATGAAAGTATTTGTGGTTGATTGATGTGGGGTTTTTGTCACGTGGGTGGGGGTTTGGTGGTGTAGGTGAGTGGTCAGTACTCAACCCACTCACAGGCTGCAAGGCTCCTTTGCATTCCCAGCTGGAATTGTGCCCAGCATGAGTCATCATTCTGCTTTACCCGACCTGTGAGTTGAGGATTTCAGCCTTCAGTCTCCAGGCTTTCCTCCAATACTGCTTGTTGTGAAAGCTGGTGTTGGTTTTGTTCTGCTTTGGAGTGATATTCTGATAGAAATGACCAGAGTAAAGCAGTGGATGCCCTCGGTCTTGCTACGTTTTTTTCTAATGATCAGTTGCCAGTTACTTTAGAAGAACATTAGTGATTTCAAGGAGTGGTTTTTAGTTTGGAAGATGGAGATTTTTGTGGAAGGTTTTTAATTTTATGGAACTTACTCAAACTGAGTAATGTTAGGGATTGTATGAAGTGTAAATATTTGCAGGTCTTGTGTGCTCTGTGGTAAAACACTGTTTCAGTTGTGTTAACTTTTCTCTTGAATGAGTACTGACTTTTGACTAAATCTTTACTGTCTCTAAAGAATTCAAAGAGATTCTGTGTACTTTTTGCTAGTTTTAAGCAGAACAGTTTCACCTTCCCTAACTGTAAGTTAGGTCTGCATGCTGAATCTTTCAGAAGAGAAACTTTCTGATTCTTGGTGCTATGGAAGTATTGAAATCATGGTCTATTTTTTTTCTTTCTTTTTGAGCATTATTCAGATGACTTCCACTTAAATTTTGGAGATTAATTCACTTCTTTTTCTGTAAAGCAGCCAAGGAGCTCCCCACGCTCTCTGGCCAGAAT